TCGGCTCACCGCAACCTCCGCCTCCTGGGTTCAGGCAATTCTCCTGCCTCAGTCTCCTGAGTAGCTGGGATTACAGGCACGCACCACCATGCCCAGCTAATTTTTTGTATTTTTGGTAGAGACGGGGTTTCACCATGTTGACCAGGATGGTCTCGATCTCTTGACCTCGTGATCCACTCGCCTCGGCCTCCCAAAGTGCTGGGATTACAGGCTTGAGCCACCGGCGCCCGGCCTGTTTTGTTTTTTAATGTGTCATTATCTGGCAAGGCCAGATCTGAGCTGCCCGGGAAGGCTCTGTTATACTTGAGTTACACCCGTTTTTCAGAGGAGAAAAAGTCAAGCTGTACCTGCATTTTCCTACTTGGTCCTGCTCCTCAGTGGCCTCCACCCCCACCATTCCCCCACCCCCCCACCCCCGCTCAGTCATCCAGCTGAAAAAGACTAAACAAATTGGAAGCTACCTATCTGACTAAAATTGGTATCCTTATACAATCCTATGGTGAATTTGTGATTCTGTGTTACCTTTGGAATCTTTAATTTTACTTTATTTTTGAGACTGGATTTGGCTCTTTCATCCAAGCTGGAGTGCAGTGCACTGCAACTTCTGCCTCCCAAGCATATAAAACCACACCCCACACCCAGCTAATTTCTTTTCTTTTTTGAGATAGAGTCTTGCTCTTGTCTCCCAGGCTGAAGTGCAGTGGCATGATCTAAGCTCACTGCAACCTCCCCATCCTGGGTTCAAGCAGTTCTCCTGCCTCAGCCTCCTGAATAGCTGGGATTACAGAACCACACCACCACGTTGGGCTAATTTTTGTATTTTTAATAGAGACAGCATTTCACCATGTTGGCCAGGCTGGTCTTGAACTCCTGACCTTGTGATCCACCCACCTCGGCCTCCCAAAGTGCTAGGATTACAGGTGTGAGCCACTGCACCCAGCCTAATTGTTTTGTAGAGACGGGGTTTCACCACGTTGCCCAGACTAGTCCTGAACTCCTGGCTTCAACTGATCTGCCCAGTGGGATTACAGGCGTGAACCACCGTGCCTGGCATTGGCATCCATTTTTAATCTTCCTCTAATACATCCAAACTCCACGAAAAAGCTTAAATTATCTTTCTGGCTTTGAGATGTAAATTTGCTATCCTGTTTTCCTCTAAAACTCAGTAAAGGCTTCCTTTATGTTGGACAGATAAGCTTTAACTTGTTCTATTTGCAAGACACAGTTTGAATTCAATTGTTCTTTTAAATTAGTCAATGTTATGTGTCTCATTGCTACAGTTTTGTTTGTTTTGTTTTGTTTTGAGACGGAGTTTCACTCTTGTTACCCAGGCTGGAGTGCAATGGTGCAATCTCGACTCACCGCAACCTCCGTCTCCTGGGCTCAAGCAATTCTCCTGCCTCGGCCTCCCGAGTAGCTGGGACTACAGGCGCGTGCCACCATGCCCAGCTAATTTTTGTATTTTTAGTAGAGACAGGGTTTCACCATGTTGACCAGGATGGTCTTGATCTCTTGACCTCGTGATCCACCCGTCTCAGCCTCCCAAAGTGCTGGGATTATAGGCGTGAGCCACCACGCCCGGCCAGCTACAGTTTTAAATATCAAAGCTATAGGGCTGGGTGCAGTGGCTCACACCTGTAATCCTGCCACTTTGGGAAGCCAAGATGGGCGGATCCATTGAGGTAAGGAGTTCGAGACCAGCCTGGCCAACATGGTGAAAACCTCTCTCTACTAAAAATACAAAAATTAGCTGGGCATCGTAGCAGGCGCGTGTAGTCTCAGCTACCTGGGGGGCTGAGGCATGAGAATCACTTGAACCTGGGAGGTGGAGGTTGCAGAAAGCCAAAATCGTGCCACTGCACTCCAGCCTGGGCGACAGAGGAAGACTCTGTCTCACAAACTCTGTCTCACACCAAAGAAAAACAAAAGAAAAAAAAAAGCAATCTATAAAGGCTTTATGTTTGTCTGTGTTTTTATGCATACATGTGTACATATCTGTGTTTTTATATTGTCTACACGGTGCCAAATTGACTTGTAAATAAATGAATGCTCATAAATTAAGTAAATAAAACCAAATGCTTTTCAAGTTCATATGACTTTTTAGTAATCTTTGGCGAATAAAAATAATATTGGATAATATTGGTTTAAATATATATAATTAAAACTACTAGAAATAAGGGAAAACAATCCTGTATGCTAAGTATACAAAAAACCCAAGATGTTTTTGGTGAGAAAAGAGTAATACAAAGGCATAAGGACATGTGTTTTTGTTTTTGGAAAAGTAATTTTGGGCCAGGCGTGGTGGCTCATGCCTGTAATCCCAGTACTTTGGGAGGCCGAGGCGGGCAGATCACTTGAGGTCAGGAGTTCGAGACCAGCCTGGCCAACAAGATGAAACCCCATCTCTACTAAAAATACAAAAAAATTAGCTGGGCGTGTGGTGGGCGCCTGTAATCCCAGCTATTTGGGAGGCTGAGGCAGGAGAATCGATTGCACTTGGGAGGTAGAAGTTGCAATGAGCCAAGATCATGCCACTGCACTCCAGCCCATGCAACAAGAGCAAAACTCCGTCTCAAAAAAAAAAAAAGTAATTTTGTCTAGTTTTGCAGTTAAAAGTTGTTTCATTTTTTTTCTCTTTTTTTGGGACAGGGTCTTAATCCTGTCACTCAGGCTAGAGTGCAATGACATGATCTCAGCGCATTGCAACCTCTGCCTCCCGAGCTCAAGTGATCCTCCCACCTCAGCCTCCCAAGTAGCTGGGACTGCAGGCATACATCACCACTCCTGGCTATTTTTTTTTTTCCTTTTCTTTTTTTATTCTTTCCCCCACCCCCACCCCCACCCCAACTGGCTAATTTTTGTATTTTTCATAGAGATAGAGTTTCCCATGTTCAAAACAAGCCCAGGCTAGTCTTGAACTGCTGGGCTCCAGTGATCCTCCTGCTTTGGCCTCCCAAAGTACTAGGATTACAGGCGTGAGCCACCATGCCCACCCCGTTTCGAAATTTTAATGATACACATAAAATTGAATGAATATAGAAAGTTGGGAAAAGAAAGAGAATAGAAAAAATTGCCAGCTAAGGTTATGAAAGGCTTATGGAAATCTTGTGTGGTGAAAGCTAATTAAGAATAGATGAACTTGCTTATAAGGTTTTATTAAAATTAGCTTTAGTATTAATACACTGAAACATGGGTAAATTTTGGTTTTCTCTTTGAACAAAATTTTTGTGTGCTACTAAGATAAGATAGTAAACTAGGCATAGTGGCTCATACCTGTAATCCCAGCACTTTGGGAGGCTGAGGCAGGTGGGTCACCTGAGATCAGGAGTTCAAGACCAGCCTGGACAACACTGCAAAACCCTGTGTCTACTAAAAATACAAAAATGACCCCAGCATAGTGGCAGGCACCTATAATCTCAGCTACTTGGTAGGCTGAGGCACAAGAATCACTTGAACCTAGGATGCGGAGGTTGCAGTGAGCCGAGATTGTGCCATGGCACTACAGCCTGAGTGACAGAGTGAGACTCCATCTCAAAAAAAATAAAACAAAAAGGAAGGAGAGAAACGGATTCTGTGTTCTTTATGTTGTCTTTATTAGATATTTTAATTATTTGAAAATTTGTCTCCTCTCTAACAAAAAGTAAAGATTTTTGCTTTTTAAAATCTTTTTTTTTTTTTTTTTGAGAGGGAGTCTTGTTCTGTTGCCCAGGCTGGAGTGCAGTGGCATGATCTCTGCTCACTGCAACCTCTGCCTCCCAGGTTCAAGCAATTCTCTGCCTCAGCCTCCCAAGTAGCTGAGATTACAGGTGCCCAACCACACCTGGCTAATTTTTGTATTTTTAGTAGAGATGGGTTTCACCATGTTGGCCAGCCTGGTCTTCATCTCCTGAACTCAGGTGATCCACCCACCTCGGGCTCCCAAAGTACTGGGATTACAGGCATGAGCCACCACGCCCAGCCTTTAAAATCTTTTATAATAAATTAGAACTTTGGCTAAATGAATGACTATTGTTTTATGTGATCCTATTGTGATAAAGTGGTTTAAACCTTTTAAATCTTTCCTATTTTGATCAAGTGTTTTCAACCTTTCACATATTTAACAGGCTTCCCCAAATTAAACTTCAAATTTGAAATTAAGTCTTTTCAACCTC